GATGTTCATGCCCCATGGTATCTATAGCTGTGGCCCGTGGATAATATAATTAATACAAGTAATAAGTTTCAATAGGTTCTTTTTTGGTTTTTTTCATTTAATTAATAAAAACTATTGGTTAGTGCTATCAAAAAAATAAAAACACTGCCTACAACACAAATAAAGTTCTTCCCTTTCCGTTGTGGAATTTTGGTAATTCTACTATATATAGTGGTACTGGGAAAAAAAGGCAATTGAAAAAAAAGCAACGGAAAAAAAAGCAAACGACACACGTTTTTGTTTTTTTAATAACTCAAGATAATTACTTGTATAATATTTTACTTAATCAAATATATACGTGGTTTTTTTGTAGCTTAGCCCTTTCTTCCTTTTCCCATCTTCTCTCTCATTATAAGGTTTAACTATTACTTAATATGTTATATATTGCAGACTATTTTAAGCTCGTGCCGCTTTCCCCGACAAATGATTAGAAACAACGTGGCACTTGGTCACTAAGTAAGTGATTATTTGAGATTATATACCTCCTATATGACTCGTCAAATCGTAAAGGACAACAATTGACAAATAATACGACTATAATAAAAATGTCAAAATCATATTTCAAACTTATCTTATGACTTATAATGATTCAAAGATAAAGGATATAAACCTATTTAATATAAACATATTTTTACAAGATAGAATATATTAATATTTTAAGCTTGTAGCGTTATAGTGGTACTTATTATTAGGTACTTAAATTAATTTAGTTTTATTTTTATACAGATAAATGATATATTTGTTACATATTCTGCTTTTTGCTTACTTCAAAGAAAAACACAATCAACTTACGAAGTAATGCTCAAAGCCATTATCTCAGATTGTGAAAAGAGAGCAATTTTTCCTGATCCATCTCATATTCATGTGGATTTTGAGAAGGCCGTTATTCAAGCTATTCGTAATGTTTTTGGTGAACATTCAAAAGTTAAAGGTGTTATTACCATTTAACACAAAGCACGCATAGGAAAATCCAGCAGCTTGGTTTGGAAAATTTGTACCGTGAAAATGATGACATGAGTTCATGTTATTTTGTGGACAAGTCGATAGTTTGGCTTTTTTGCCGGTATCTGACATATTTGAAGGAATGTCTCATTTACGTAAAATCATGCCAGAAGAAGCACATGACTTGGTGGAATATTTTGATCAAACCTACGTAAATGGGACATACAGACGTATTGGCCAAGAAAATAAATTGAAATTCCGAAAAGTACCACCCCTTTTTTCCCCCTGAAATTTTGAATGTACACGAAAGTACCTACATTACATAATATCGAGCGTACAAATAACCAAACTGAAGGTTTTAATAATCGATTTTCTAAGTTGGTAAGCCATAAGCACCCTTCTATTTGGAACCTCATTAAGAAAATGATACTGGAAGTTGCAGCCGATGAGACAAAACTCCAGCAACGGTTATTAGGCTCTGTGCAACCAAAAAAAAAACTTAAGTAGTATGAAAAAATGCAATTCAATTTAAAAAAAATATGTGAAGAGTATAGAGATAACTAGATAAGCAACGTGATCTACCAAAATTTTTATTAGCTATATCTCATACCACAAGGTATAGGTACTTTATAAATTGTTTTATGATAAATTTATGTTTTATATTGACGCATATTATCCAATATGCATTTAATTTTATACTTGGAATTTTATTTTAACTTATCAAGTGTACATTTTTTAATTACATTAAATTATTTTTAATTATTATTTACTACCTACCTACTTACTAATTAACTATACGGCATATTGGTTTTTGCTATACTTATACGTTATACACATATGCCTGTAGGTACCTATGCCTTTTTTTCATTTGCTTTTTTTTCCTTTTGCTTTTTTTCCGTTGCTTTTTTTTCAATTGCCTTTTTTTCCTAGATTCATACCTATATAGTAAATACCCGTTACAAGGCGGAAGGAATAAAGTTTGTCCTCGCAAAACGGTTTTTGCTATGTTGTACATTTGAAAGACGGAGACCACACATGCGGGTTTGACGTCCTCGTAAGTTCACTTAAAAAAGCAAGTGTAACAAGTAGGTAGCAACTCTGCGCACTGCTGTACAGTAATTATCGAGTGTACCCTGTACCTCGTCAGACGTCAGTCATCATTGAGTATTGAGTAGGTCAGTGAAGACACTCGACACTGTAATGCAGGGGACGACAACCCACGGCCCACATGTAAATTTTATGTGATAATGTTAACATTTTAACAAATTTTAGATTCTGAGTGGAACGATGAATGTAAAGATTTTACAATAATTTGTGTTTTTTGTTTTTTTAATTTTTTTAATTTTTTTTTTTATTTGTGTCTTCGTACAAGATTAGTAGTCGAAATAATGCTTCGATTTTCAACTTCAGTATCTTGTTCGATTGGAAAGTGAATATCGTTGGTACATTGGGGAGGAAAAACGAGAATTTTTACGCAAAATCGAATTTGGTTTTTGGTGTAACTCTAAAACAAATGACCGTAGATTCATGAAATTTTTACTGGTTGTTTATATTTGCATTTTCTATACACGATAACATTTTCAAAATATTTTGATTTATTTTGAACTGTTTAGGGACATTTTCAGTTTCAAATTTTATTAGTTTTTTTTTTATGAATATCAATAAAATTTTATTTGTTGAGTAAAAATACTTGAAAATTTAAAAGAAGACTCCTATAGTTTATTGTTTCAAAGGCAGATGAAAAATATTAAAAATCCTTAGTCACAGTTTTTTTTAATAAGCATTTAAAGTTCAAAAATTGACAAAATTTGGAAAAATCACGAAAATTGGCAAATTATTTTGGGTTAAGAATTCGTAAAAATTTTTCTTTTCAAATCTAAGATTTTTAAATGTAATATAAGATTACTCATAAGTTTGTCTACCTTTATCAATAAAAAAATCTCTACCGGAAAGTCAAATTAAATTTTTATGAGTGTTTGAAATTCAAATTTTTATAACATTGGATATTCACTCGATTACTCGTGTACCGATTTCCTTATTTTGTTGTAATTTAAAAATGAATGACTGTAGATACTTGAAAATTTCACTGAATATCCATATTAGCATTTCCTAGACACCTTACAATTTTGAAAATATTTGACTCTTTTTGAGCCGTTTACGGACATTTTCAGTTTTCAATTTTTTCAGTTTTTTTTTTCTATAAATATCAATAAAGTTTAATCTGTTGGACCAAAAAGTGTAAAAAATTAATACAAGGCTCCTGATATATTGTTACAATAGCAATTGAAAAATATTAAAAATACATAGGCACAATTTTTTTTATAAGCATTTAAAGATCGCATTTTGACAAAATTTATCAAAATCTCGAAAATTATCAATCATCGTAATTAATAAATTATAAAATGTTCAGTTTTTATAGCTAAGGATTGACAATTTAAAAAAAAGATGACACAGAATCGTTTTTCCTATACAATGATATTATATCATTGAATTCAAATTTAATACCATCCAGTATACAGTAACCTACTGTACAGCAGACCACCTTTTTTATACTTCTCTTTCCTGAGAATAATTTTGAACCCCCTCCGGCCCTCCCCCCCCCAAAAAAAAAGCACTAACTAGATTCAATTTGGTACCAGATTCTAGAAATCTCCCTCAAGGTTAATGATCAAGGCATTTTTTCTACATGAAAAAGTCAGACATAAAAATTTTTAAAAAACACATTGTAAAATCAAATCATTGCTTTGCTCAGTACCTAAGGAATAAAAATGTTCTGGTGGCTTCAGGATCTTACCCCATTAACATTTTTCCTATTTGAACCACACTACTGGATCTACTTAGTTCCAATGTACCTCAGTGGTGTTTTTAGGTTTTTGTCAGAGGGGGAATGATTTTATCCAGTAGCCCCGATCTTAGAGCTAGAGGCCTTAAGTTAAGACTCTGAAATATGTTGCATATTATATACATCATATGGGGGGAGGGGATTGATCCCCCCCCGTAATTACGCTACTGATGTAACTTCTATACTCAATTCCAAATAAGAATGAACACTTTTTTTTTTAGCACACTCGGAATACGGTGAAAACTTTGTGACAATACAGTTCACTATGTATAGACATTAGACAGAGGTGTTTCGAGACGTGAAACTGTAGAACTACAGTGAACTGTATTGTCATATCGTTTTCACAAAAATACGGGTGCATAAAATAAAAAGTGGTCATTTTTATTTGGAATAGAGTACCTATAGACCAGTGGTTTTCAAACTTTTATTGACCGCGGCACACTCACCTTTTTTTTCGCACTAAATAATTAGATGAACACAATTATTTTGAATTATAATTATATAAGTACATTTAATTAGAAATGAGTGCTTGACGAATGACGGGCTAACACATTTTTATTCATTTTATTTTTATAATTTTATTCTTGGACGAATAGTTTAACTTTCCAAAAGACTGCGGCACACTCAGTGAATTCTCGAGGCACACCAGTGTGAACCCAGTTTGAAAACCACTGCTATAGACTATAGTAACTACTATTGCCTCAATTAATACTCAAATAATAAATAAAATTCAGTATTACACTATTATTGTGTTTGTGTGTTTGTTTGCTAATTTAAATTCAAAAGATGGTTTAGTTTGGTGTTACAGACATTGGTATACTCTACTAAAGTAAATAAAAAAAGTTGAGTATGATTTTCAACAATCAATTTGTAGTTTTTTTTTCTAAATTACCTACACTAAATGAGAATTAGAATACTGATTTTATGTTCAACAAATGTTTAACCGATGTACTAATGGTAACTACTTTTTTCTCCTTTATAGTACATAATATTTTATTTAATAACTTATGTTGGCAATTGTCTAAAATAACTTTAAAAATATATTCTTTATTTATAACAAACAATAAAAAAAAAGTATAAAATTGATGATTTGATGATGATAAATATTAAGCTGTTTATATTAAATACATTTCATTATAACATGAACAAAATTTATATTTTTTCATTGTAAAAACAACTACTTAACATTCCAACTGGCTAATAAAGTTTTTATTCCATCTTCAAAATTAGTATGTGTTCCAATTCCTAACTGATTTATGCGTGAAACATCTAATTGAGTATTAAATGGGCGTTTCACTCCACCTTGTCCATTTACTGGAACTACTTGTTCCATACTCATGTCAAAAATCTTAGCCATCTTAGCCACCATATCATACTTTGTATACATTTCTTTTCCACACCACTGATAAATACCACTGATGTCATTACTCTGAAAAAATCATAATTTTACAATATGTTAACACCTTTAATTAAGACTTTAACTTACAGATGCAATTTTTTTCCCTACTAAATTAAACACAATGTGTGCTATATCATCAACACTTGATGGATTACGAAGTTCATAATTAGAGACTTTAAATAATTCATTATTATTTTGACACTTTTTTAATCCAATTAACAAATAAGTAATTGCACTTTCTTCTAAATTTTCAACAGGTCCATATAGTACCGGAATACGGAGAATGATATTATCTGTAAATAATTTTTTTTTATTACTAATTTAATTTATAAATAAAGATATTAACACACAACAGCAGTGTTTGACATTATTATCTAGATACTTTTTTCATATATTTTATTTCATCTACATAATTTTTAAAGGATTCATCTATCATCTTATATATTTCTTTTAAACACAATTCTTTATTAGACCAACTGTTAATAATAATTATGATAAATTATAATAGTTATATTAGATATATAACTAGTGATCTACATATTATTTTATATGGGGAATAAAAAATGTTATCTTTTAAAATTATCTATATATTGCTTTAGTGTATTGTCTATATTCATATCATTATTTTTGATAGAATGTAACCTTGTAGCTTCTATAATAATACTGAAAACAGTTATAACTTTTTTGAAAGCATCATGATATTTATATTAACATTACAACTAATATACAAGTGCTACAAGCTATTCTAAAGGCGTCTAAAACCCTAAATGTATTAAATCAATACCACATAGTGAAACAAAATATATTTCTAAAACATAATATTAGTCTACCTTCCTCAGCCTTAGCTCAGAAATTGTTTAGTGCAGCTAATAAAATTCTTAAGCCTTGGAGAAATTGTACATGACGATACATATTTTGAAAAATTATTATGCTTCAGTTTGACAAAATAATAATAAATATTAAAGATTATTGAATTTTTGCCAATATAATGGTATATTATATTTATATTACCTAAATATTATATATTTTATTTAATATGTACCTATACATACATACATACTATACATATTGTTATTTAATTGTATTATAATTTATAGTTATATAATGCACTTAAACAATATTGTATTATTGTACAAATAATATAACAAAATATAAAATATAAATGCATACACCATTTCAATTTTCATGCATTATTAGTTTTGTATAATAAGCTATAATTACTTTATAAATTATCTAAGATATATGCTGGAGTCCCACAGGGTAGTAATTTATCCCCTGATCTATATAATGTATTTACAGCAGACATCCCTCAATCTAGTAACACCCTTCTTGCAACAAACGCTGATGAAAAAGCTATTCTTTCCTCCAGTCAAAATCCTATCCTAGCTTCAGATGCACTCCAGGATCATGCTAATAAAATAGACGAATGGGCAAAAAATGGAAAATTAAAATGAATACAGATAAATCTGTTCAAGATACTTTCATGAATAACGCCTCATCTCTGTCCAAACCGAAATTAAGTACTTAGGCATAACACTTGATAAAATACCAACCTGGGGCCCCCACCTCAAAGAAAAATGAAAATCAGCGAACAATAGACTTCACCTCCTCCGACCAAGCCTTAACTCCAAAATACCACTCCAAAACAAACTTATTATATAAAAGTCAATCATAAGACCAGTCTGGTCTTATGAAATAGCAATCTGGAGTCCAGCCAAGCCCTCGAACATCAGGCCAATTCAGATTCAGGCTTTTCAATCAATTGCGCTAAGGTTAGTAACCAAAGCCCCCTGGTACGTTGCAAACTCTACTTTACACAACGACTTAAAAATAACAACTACCACTAAATTAGCCAAAACAATGTACAAACGTTTTCATCAAAATTTAAGTACGCATAGCAATACTTTAATATCACACATGTCCTCCCTCACCCTCAGAAAAAAACTCGCCACGCAGACTAAAGCTTAAATGGTGTAGAGACCTATTGAATTGGTAAAGGAGGTGTACCATTGGGTTTCTTCCTCAACACAATATTCATGTTACTTTATTCTGTTTTTTCTATTTAATTTGCTTATTGTAATTATTGTGTACAGATTGTAAATTGTCTTTCTTAATAAAAAAAAAAAAATTATCTAAGTATTATCTAAATCATTTTTTTCTGAAATTATGTATTGTCTAAATTATTTTAATTTATCTATTACCCATACCATTTAGTCCATTCCATTTAGATGACTACATTGAAAAAATTAAAAATATATATTAGCTTATCTAGATAACTATTTAACTATCCGGTACTGGTCTAGTTGATCCCCGCCAAGAAAATATCTTTCTTGTTTTCGATGTTCTAATCATTCAATATAGAATGTATATACTGCAGATAAAGAAGGTACGAAATCACACACATTAGGTATTCGTATGCAATTCCTTAATTAGATATCTTAAGAATAATGTTTGATAAAATCCATGTAGTGAAATTTATGATATAAGATAGGTATAACAGTGGGTGCCGTATATTATAAGATTGTGGAGTTTTACCTTAGTTTTTCAGTCGCCGCCGTCACTGAACAATAAACACGAGTTTCCAACAAATTTTTAATAACGTGCACAATAATTCATCAGCAATCATTTTGACAGTGGACACAAAATGACTTTAGATCAACAAAGAGGTCAAAGGCGATATCATTTGAGATCATGTCGAGCAGAAAAAAGTGTTAAAACCAATAATTGGATCCAAAGTGCTAAGGTAAAGTTACCAACTATTGTTCACTTTATTTATGGTTGGGCTCATGAACTAACATCAGTGGAATTTTGTAAACGCAAATTCGGAATGAGCAAATCTACTGCAGTAGATTGGAATAACTTTCTTAGAGAAGTATGTGTATGGAAACTTTCTCAGGGCACATCAAAAATAGGAGGTGCTGGTTGCATTGTTGAGATCGATGAAAGTTTGTTTGTCAGGCGTATAAATAACGCCGGTCAAATACTGCCGCAGCAAAGGGTATTTTGTGGCATATGTTGTGAGAGCAATGAGTGCTTTGTTGTGTGTGTACCTGATCGGTTGGAAAATATGTTATTGCCAATAATTTGTGAACGTATACGAGTTGGATCGACCATTGAATCAGGGCAAACCTATAATAATATTCAACAAACCGGCCTTTATACTCACTCAACAGTAAACCACAAGTATAACTTTATGGATCCTATGAGTGGAGCTTACATGCAGAATGTTGAAAGGATATGGAGAAGTGCTAAATGGGGCAACAAGAAACCAAGAGGGACTAAGAGAAACTTCCTATATTCTTATTTGTCAGAGTTTATGTGGCGAAGTAAATTAAACGGTCGCAATCCATTTAATGAAATTTTGAAGGACATAGCAGAATTTTGGCCACCTGCATAATTTTGTAATATTTTCTGCATTATTATATATATGTGAATGATTTAAATTTTTTTTACGATTTATTTATCCATATATATTATTATGTATCTATAAATACCAAATGAATGTATGATAAATGATTTAAATCATTTTTTTACTTTTTTATGAATTATTAAATTATAATATTATATAATTATATATTGAATTATTGATTATTGACTAGAACATTGAAAACAAGAGGGATTTAAGTGGCGGGGGTCAACTAGACCAGTACCAATTATCCAACGGCCAACAATGTATTCAAATCATACTTAGATTAGCAGCAAGGACTGCTTTTTCACCAAGCAACTTCAACCTTCCATATTCATTAATAGGCGAAGGTTCGTCAGTTTCTTTATAAGGACTTTCATCTCCATTAAATACATAATCTGTACTGATATACAACAACGGCACATTGAGATGATCTAAGAGGAAAAATAAATAATTTAAAATTAAATATAATGTAGTGTAATACAATGATTTATTACAGGTAAATGAAATTTGTCATATTATGGTACTTTCAATATTAATGTTGGGGAGTTAATAATTTATTTTATCTTATTTAGGTAAATATCTTTCACAGGTTGTTTTATTGAATGTTGCTTATGATATTTAACTAGATGTAATGTAGAACATTTACTTGCTACATCAGCTAAATGAGCTGATACTCCAACATTCAGATCATAAGCAGCCTGAGGATCACTTTCTACTTTATCTGGAAACCGTTCAGCAGCACAGTGAACAATAACGTCAGGGCAAACTGTATTAAGGAGATTAGTGACTGCGTCTTTATCAAGCAGGTTCAATTTTGTCAGCCCTGGGCTAGTCCTGAAAATATGTCAAATTCTAATCACCTCTTTGACTATCATGTCACATATGTGGCAAACACGGCTATAGATAATTATCTATAGTCGTGGTTCGGTATTAAAATCATACTTGCCTTTTGAACGAGATACCGCACACAGTCCAATCTGGTTCGTTAAGAAAACGTTCGTATATAGATCTTCCCAATAAGCCCGACGCACCGGTTAAAAAGAGTTTCATCGTCGACGAAGCGTTTGAACAGACTTATGAGAAAGTAGGGATCACTTGAACAAACAAAAAATATTATGTACGTTTCGATTCTGATTATAAAATAGGTTTAGGACACTTTAGGTACTCGTATTATTGATGTTCAACTTCGAGCCAGTGTTCAAGACGTGTTAGAAGGCTGGTTTGCGGGTGACGGGGAGTATGTGGGAAGGCGGAGAAACTGGTAAACGCTAATGTTTTCGTTCGACATTGACCGGCCAGTGGCGACCGTGGACGTCATAGATAAATCGTAAATATAAGACATTTACAAGTCAATATTATACAATTATATTATGCTCGCGAGATCAATGTACCAGGGTCCCAACTCCCAAGAATTTGTTTTATAAAATATGTTGGAATAATCAATAAACATATTCTATAATCATGGTCGAAATATGAGATAAGGTGAACTCCTATTATCAAGCGAAGTGGAGCATGGCTAAAGATGGTTTATCTTAAGCACAGAACATGAAGTGGAGTCATGTTATCAGCCTGCTGTATTGATATAATTATAATTTAATTTAATTTGTCATGATTCATGCTATGACCTAAGATAAACTAACATCTAAGATATATCTTAGTTCATGTCTTTAACCATACTTATTTCCATAGGGCATAGACCTATAAACTAAGTTAGTTAATACTTAATAGGTCTATGCTTAGGTATTTCAATTCAATTTAGAAGTTTTTCTTCTAATAAAGTATTTTTTTCGTGGTATCAAAAGTACCCCCTTGATGGCTTAATACCCTTTAATGACGCCTATGGCTATAGTTATAATACTTTAGGATAAGTCACGGACTAAGATTAGTCCTTGGGATAAGTTAATCTGTGATATAAATCGATCTACTTATATCACAGATTTAAATAATATTGTTTTAGATCTGTGATTTATATACATATAATTATATCAATATAGATATACAATATACCATAATATTATATTATGTATAATTGTTCACATTAAAATAAAGTGAAGTGTGATTCAAAAATATGACATGGGCTCAACTTTTTTTCATAGATTTACAGAGCAGCCACCAAGTTCTACGAGAACAGCCTTTTTGTAATCTACTTTTCCAATAGGTATACTAATTTAAAAATGTGATTAATATTTTGGATAAAGTACTCCCACACATTACAACAAGTAAAGACAAAATAATTTGGTTGTATAGGCGCCTAGTGCCTACAATTTTAATACAGTCGCAAAATATGAATGAATAATATTATTATCTAGGGAAAAAATCCCCAAGGCTATACTTACCCTTAATCTTTTTTCTATGGCTATACGCCTATACCAATCTAATATTATAATGTTTAAACAGAAAAATTTACAGGTAAAAATAATAATACTAATATTTTCAGTCAGCATAAAGCATTAAAGCGACCTATCAACAATGTGCAACAATTAAAGGTCCCCACACACTGCTGCTGGTTGGCGCCTTGGCGGTGGATGGCGGTAGCGGTTACGGCAAAATGAGTCCGGACACAATTTTACCGCCACCTTAATATCGAATATTGATTAAAATTAGGGCTCGCTTTTGGTAGTTGTTGCCACTTGCCTTGTTTGATAGGTACAGTTATAAAAAATAATACCTATTGAATACATATTTTTTTTTATCCGTATTAGTGGTATTACTTATAAGTGTATATAACTGTAAGAATTTTGTCGAGATATTATAATTATATGTTCTTCTTCTTCTTCTTCTTCTTCTTATCGTGTCCGAGCTATGGTATAGATGCGGGCGAATAAAGATGAATTATATGTTAACACGTTGATGGACAGTCTTGTGGCCGCCGTCGAAAAAAAACTATCCTTAAAACGACTCTTTTCATTACTGCTATAGCAGTAATATTTTTAGTACTGCTATAGCAGTACTTACCTCCGACATCACATTTTCAATTTAAAAATTACTGCTATAGCAGTATTACATTTAAATGTTAATATTACGAATTGTGTATCCTGTGTTGTGCCAATCAAATGAAAAAAAAACATTAACTGTATATATCGATAAATATTATCGAAATATAAATTATAACTTATCAGCTGAAGAATAAAAATGGAAAATACGTGTACATATATTATAAATACGTGTATACATAAGCTAAAAATAGAGTGCCCGATGGCCCGATGAGATGTCCGGGGTCAGTAAAATTTCCTTTCTCATAAGAGACCATTGAAAATATCACTGCTATAGCAGTAATGACACTTTTTGGACGATTTTTATATTACTGCTATAGCAGTAATATTTAAAAACGACCCCTGACATCAACATTTTATATTACTGCTATAGCAGTAATATCGGCAACTGTCCACCAACGTGTTAAAATCTCATTAATAAAAAAAAAAAAAAAACTGTAAGAAAAAACTTGGAGACTCAGACAATATAAATATACTGCCAGTACCTACCTAGTTTTAAATGTTCATCTGTTGCAAACAAAACTTCTTTCAAACGCCACTTTACGAGTATTGCATTATTCCTCAATAATAGTCTAAAATACTCAATAATGCGCATTCATCAAAAAAAAAAAAAAAAATAGATATAAGAACTGAATGGCCACTAGTACATGTAAACAATGTATTGAGTTTGATATGTCTTACAATAACTTCATATTTAATAAGGTAATCATTTTTTGTTTTAATTTTTTTGACAATTTCAAGAGTCAAATGTCTTAGCTAATGGCTTACCTTCAAAGGCGCGAGAGCAGAGTAGCATTTGCTTCCTCAAAAAATTCAATAGGATTAATGATTATTAAAATAACCTTATAAATTATAATCATATTAAATTTTATCTAATAAAAATATCTGTAACCATTATTATATAAAATGTATGTTGTACTTTAATTAGTCCGTTGTAAATTGTAATCTAAACTACCTGTTAGATCATATGGATTTGGTTTCTATGAACTTCATGACAAATTTACTATTAACACAACTAATTTTTAACTGGCTCTCAAAAAATATTTACCTAAGTAAACTTTATTTTTAACTAACTCTCAAAATATACACTAAACTCCCTTAAAATCAAAATTCTGCCACAAACATCAAAATATACAAATATATGCACTACACATTTTGTAGTAGAAGATATCTTCTGGATCAGTTAATATTATTTGAGTTTACAATTTCCCCCCTCCTGCTAATCATCCCCATCACATTTACTTATTATAATATATATTGTAATTACAGATTGTAAATAAAATTATATAAACGAAATGAAAGCACTACCGCATGAAATTTGAAATCAGTGTTTCAAACACGTCGGTGCCACTGCGGTCATCGCGTTGGGCCCATGACTATAGGGCTGTCATAACTTAGATAGGCTATGACATGTCTATAGCCTATGCCCTATGGGCAGATCCGAGAAGATCAGATCGCGGAAGGGCGAACACATGACGAAATAATATGTTATTTGATATTTCATCATGGGCGAACATTTCGATGGTTATAAACATGAACATTAGAGGATCCTCTAATGTTCATGGTTATAAATTATAATAATAGTGATAGCAACCATAGATAACGTACAAGATATTAGCGTTGATAAGTGATAACGCGCAACGTGTAGTACACACGAGTTTCAACTTTATTATAGTTTTTACTTTTTTTATAGTTTTATTGAACATAGCAGGACGCGGTACTATTAAGTGTTTGTCCCATATTATAATAAATAATGCTACACTATTTCAGGGTACAAAATATTAGAACAACTACAACTTACTGTTGTATAATATATTAATGTGTTAACTACGTAATTTCAACGTTTTTGATTTCATTCAATTTTGTAAATTATATACAAAATGATGAATGAGTCACCGGAAACCGTAGAACTAAAACCGAATCACGAAACCAACACTATTGCGGTGGAAGAAAATGGAAAACGTCCATTGGATCAATCGGAGGATGCCTGTGAAAGTCAACCTAAAATGTGTAAACTAGACAATGAAAGCAATGCCAACCAGTCTAACACCCTGTCAAAAAGGCAGCTAAAAAAGATCCAAAAGCAACAGATGTGGATAGAGAAAAAAGAAAAACGAAGGTAAAGTTTAGTATAAAATTTTTCCAGATTCAATAGTGTTAACCTAATCCAGACTTATATTTATTCTCAGGGAAACAAATAAAGAAAGGAAAGTAGAAATGAAAAAAAGGAAAGCCCAAATGAGAGAGTCCGGAGTAGAAATACCAATTGTAAAGACGAAAAAAATGGCCGAGAGTACATGTAAACAACGTATTGTGTTAGATATGTCGTACAATGACTTGATGTCTGATAAGGTGACTAATGATTTATGTATGTAGGTACTTTCTGTAACATTTAAAAATAAATATTTAATTTTGATCTTAACAAATCAAATATCTTACCTTGTCATAGTAATCGACAGATTTCATTCACAATTATTTAGAAAAAATAATATTAGCTTTATATGGAGTAGTTTTAATTATTTGATTTTCCTTAGGTATTAACGTACATTTTGTTTAATACAATAATTAATATTATTCCCCAATTCATATAAATAAATAGGTCTAGAATTTATGTGCATTGATATGTTTTTTTTAAAGCCCTTTTAAAAATATATTAGTAATTACTAATTTCCACTAATCTCCTGAGATTGATACAAATTATCTATTTTTCTACTAGGGCTAGGATTTGAATGCTTTAAACTCCAAAAATAAACGATTATGCCCTAAAATTTCTAATTAGTGCTCTAAAAAACTTTAACAATTTATTAAAATGTTTAATGATTTTGATATAAATTGTAATATATATTTGCTCAATATTATTTCTACAAATAATTGTTTTAATTTTTTCATAGTTTTTGATTATATATTTATTTACCTATTTATAGTTGTTTGGATTCAAAATCTTCAAATATTAAAAAATTAACTTAAAATTTAAAATCATCAAATAATTCAAAAAAAAACTTTCAATGCAGATGCAAAAATACACGAAACGTGTTCGTTCTTTGCATTACTGGATTCAGATAACAATGCAAACTGCATCGAAATCCAAGCCTTCTTATCACATTTAGCTTATTATAGCTTATTCTAACAAAATAAAATGCATATATTATCCTATCCTTATAAATAAAATATGTAATAATAATTAAATAATTCATGTTATTAGGATTTATGCAAGTGTTCAAATCAAGTATTGAGGTGTTATGGTCTGAATCGTAGAATGGATAATCCTATGCAATTATATTTTTGCAGTTATGAAGGAAAAACAAAAGAAATTATGGCTAAACACAATGGCTCTGAGTCTTGGGATGTATGTTCATATATTTATACATTCAATTTAACAATATTAGCATCAAAGACTTGTCAAGAAGAACTAATTAAAATGTCTTAAAATCTGCACTTGTGTTGTGTACAACTATTAAACTTAATAATAATTAATTATTAATTATAAATCAATTTCATAATATTTTTGATAATTTGTCTGTCTTATACAAAAAATTTTAAACACAAGAACTTTGGTGGCCATTATTATTATTTTTTGAATATGAACCTAATTCATAACCACATTGTATACAACTTTCGTGATTTTTCCACATTTTGTCAATTTTAGATTCTGAGTGGAACGATGAATGTATTTGAACTTTAATTGCTTATAAAAAAAACTGTGATAAGGGATTTTTAATTTTTTTCATCTGCCTTTGAAACAATATAATAGGAGCCTTCTATTAAATTTTCAAGCTTTTTTAACCAACAAATAAAATTTTATTGATATTTTTAGAAAAAAAATGGAAAATGAAAATGTTCCTAAACTGTTCAAAACAAATCATAATATTTTGAAAATTTTATCCTGTATAGAAAATCCAAATAAAAATAACCAGTGACAATTTCATCTATTTGAATTCATTTATTTTAGAGTTACACCAAAAACCAAAATCAATTTTGTGGAAAACCGATTTTGCTTAAAAATTTCCATTTTTCCTTAATTTTTATGTTGTTTTTCCCGTTGCTTTTGAAAACTAGGAAGCAGTTTTACTGCCCTAAACTGTGATGACAGACACAAAAATAAAATATAAATAAAAAATAAAAAACACACATCATGATAAAATCAATACATTCATCTTTCCACTCAGAATCTAAAATTATCAATTAATATAATACAATTTAATTTAACTTAAAATACTAAAAATAATAATGATTAAAATATTGAACTTAACTATTTTTTAAATTTAAATTTAGTTAATTTTTCTTGATTTTCTTTGTTAAAAATCAAAAATGTCTTATACTATTTATTTATTAATTTTCAGATAAAATATTTAGAAAACTCATTTGATAAAGAATTCAAGAAAGAAGAAATTGTTTATTTGACCAGTGACAGTTTGAATGTCTTAGAAAGTATAGATGAAAACAAAGTGTACATAATTGGTGGTCTGGTTGATCATAATTCTTGCAAAGTATAGTTGCCTTACATTCTGTAATCTTTGTAATCTTAGTAATCTATTTTCAATATAAACACCTTATTTTTTCTAGGGTGCAAGTCTGAGAGTAGCAAATGATCTAGGTATAGCTCATGCCCGATTGCCAATCGATGAACATATCAACATGCAAACTAGAAAAATTTTAACTATAAATCATGGTAATTTCATATAATATTTTATTGAAATAAATCAATCTCTGTATAGTTATTGTCCCTATTGCTATATACACTAGAAAAATATCAAAATAAAATCAATTGAAAAATCTTGGAAAGTTGATCTGCTTTATAGTAGATTTTGAGTATACCTTATCATTGAGACTATTAGATTACTGTAAAAGTGGCAATTATGATTAAACATTAAAATGTCAACCTCCCTTAACAAAGTATACCTCAAATTAGAGCAACAGACATAAAATAAATGGTCGGGTAGGGGGGGGATGTGATATATCACCATATTGCCCCCTAAAACTGCCACTCTACTGTAAATTTGAATTCGATAATAAATCATAACACACAAAAAACAATACAAGCAGAAGCGGTATGTCTTTACATTACTTTTGTTTGTTGTTCATGAGTGTTTGAGCTTTAGGTATTAAAATTAACAAATTAATTCATATTTTACTACAACAATAATTTTGAAATTTTCGTGATTTTGACAAATTTTTACCGAAGTTCGAACCACAAACTAAATTGGAAAAAATTACAAAAAAAATTCCAACATGTAATTTCCATATTTTAAAACTTTTTTTGGAATTTGTGAGTAACTTTAAGAAGATGTACCAACTAGATACAATTCTCTAAAAAAAAAATCTATAAATTAATAATAAATATTACTCATAATTGGAAAAACAATATATTCATCACTCAGAATCTAATAGTATAGAGCCTGGAAAGTGTAATAAAAGTTAATCTTTTACAGTTTTTGAAATAATTTCAAAAGTGGTGTCTGGAATGTCTTGGAAAGAAGCATTAATTGGTACTTTGCCAAAAAGAAAAATGTTCTCAGTCATAGACGAAGAAGACCTTTTGGAATATGAAAATTGTTCTCTAGAATATAAACCAAAAGAAGAAATTGAATGTCCAGAAGCAGAAAAAATTGAAAATGTTTCAGTTGAAAATGTAATAGAACAAAATGTTTCAGTTGAAAATGTAAAAGAACAAAATGTTTCAGTTGAAAACTAAATAAATATATTATTTAAAATAAAGTGATTGCATAATCATTAAAAAAAAAAACATGGAAATCACTGAATGCGCATCACTGTAATGAAATCTGTGGGTATGAATAATGATTCTGGTAGAAGACGGCCTTTGTTTTTAAAGATATTTAATAATTAATTTATATTACTATTAACATTGACTATTTCCAGTCTTGTAAAGAATACTTTTATTTTGTATTCAGAAAACATATTCAAATAAATGAGAATTAAGGTATTCAGAATACGTATTTGAATAGTTCTTAAAAATATATCAGAATACATATTTGAATACTTAAAAAAGTATTCGAATACTATTAGAACAATTTTTTTCACAACTAGTTTTTGTCAGTTTTTGAATGGTTGATAATTAACATTTATTAATTATTAATTAAAAGTACATCGTAATCATAAGTTATTTATAAATTTTCACCACATATGATATGGCCGATACGGGCCATACGGGATACAACAAATGGTGTTTATAAAAATAATCATATCATGAGCAAATATTATATTTCGTTCAAAGAATAAAATTAATGTTCATAATTTATAATAATATGTCTTGTCACAAATTTAAAACTATTTTTCTGGATCGCAAAAAAGAATTTTTTTAATGAATTTTTATACAAATAAAAGTATTTAGAATATGTATTTGATTACATTTTTAAAAATAGTATATTTGTATTCGAATACTTTACAAGACTGATCATATCATAAACATTATGATACACATTACATTATAATATACATAGTAATGGTATGTATAATCAATGCAGTTAGTAGTTATATTTGTATTAGTAGTATTAAAGTATTGTGGGTTAATTTCTTTTCACCAAAATCATTGCATAATATAATATTATATAATTAATTATTATAATATTTTATCATATATTTATATATTTAATTAATGCTATTAACTTTTAACTTTTAGGTATGAATGATGCATGGTATAATTATTCAATATATTTTGTGAATTTAATTGCATGTAAAAAATAATAATATATAATATAAATCATTACCTATTTTTTGTTTAAATATTCAATTTCATCAACATTTTAACTTTAAATGTTCTTGAAAAGATAAAGCGCACATATTTTTGATAATTTTTTAAATTCTGAGTGAAACGATGAATGTATTGATTTTACAATGATGTGTGTTTTTTTTTTTATTTTTTTTTATTTTTTTTTATTTTTGTGTCTGTCATCACGTTTTAGGACAGTAAAAATGCTTGGATTTTCTTCATCAGTAGCTTTTCTGATAGGAAAGTGAATCTAGTTGGTACTTTGGGGGGTCAAAAGTATAAATTTCCCAGTAGTTTTCACAAGCGCCGGGAAAAAACAACATAAAAATTAAGGAAAAACGGGAATTTTTACGCAAAATCGATTTTCCAAAAAATCGAATTTGGTTTTTGGTGTAACATTAAACAAATGACCGTAGATACATGAAATTTTCACTGGTTGTTTATATTTGCATTTTCTATACACGATAACATTTTCAAAATATTTTGATTTATTTGGAACTGTTTAGGGACATTTTCATTTTCCATTTTTTTTTTAGTTTTTTTTTCTAAAAATATCAATAAAATTTTATTTGTTGGTTGCGAAAGCTTGAAAATTTAATAGAAGGCTCCTAATATATTGTTTCAAAGGCAGATGAAAAATATTAAAAATCGTTAGTCACAGTTTTTTTTTATAAGCATTTAAAGTTCAAAAATTGACAAAATATGGAAAAATCACGAAAATTAGCAAATTATTTTGAGTTAAGAATTCGTAAAAATTTTTCTTTTAAATCTAAGATTTGAAAATGAAACACAAGATTCCTTATAAGATTATTTACCTTTATCAATAAAAAAATCTCTACCGGACAGTCAAATTAAATTTTTATGAGCGTTTGAAATTCAAATTTTTACAACATTGGATTTTCACTTGATTACTCATGTAGCGATTTCCTTATTTTGTTGCAATTCAAAAACGAACAACTGTAGATACATGAAAATTTCACTGAATGTTTAAATTAGCATTTTCTATACACCATACAATTTTGAAAATATTTTGACTCTTTTTGAGCTGTTTACGGACATTTACAGCTTTCAATTTTTTTTAGTTTTTTTTTCTATAAATATCAATAAAGTTTTATCTGTTGGGCCAAAAAGTGTAAAAATTTAATACAAGGCTCCTGATATATTGTTACAATAGCAATTGAAAAATATTAAAAATACAGAGGCACAATTTTTTTTTATAAGCATTTAAAGATCGCATTTTGACAAAATTTATCAAAATCTCGAAAATTATCAATCATCGTAATTAATAAATTATAAAATGTTCAGTTTTTATAACTAAGAGTTGAAAATTTAAAACAAAGATTCTCTTAAATAATTCATACTGTAACCAAAAATCTAAAAAATATATAAACACACTTATTTTTTACAGACATTTTAATTTCAAATTTAGACAAAATTTCATATTTAAACCAAGAATTACGATTTTAGTTATTTTGTTGTGATTGAATAATACTATTCGTGGGTACTTGAAACTTCTAAAGTGTACTATTATATATCTATGATAGTATCACGGTTTTTGTTGATGTATAACGCGTTATAAGTATCTAATGGATATTGTGATATGATTAATTTGGAATTTATTATAGGTACCTATTATAGGTCAATTTTTTGTTTAATACCATAGATATGTATATAATATGCCTTATACATAGACTGACATACCATCACCGCTCAGAATCGTTTTTCTTATACAATGATATTATATCATTGAATTCAAATTTAATACCATCCATTATACAGTGACCCACTTGTAACCTACTGTACAGCAGAGCGACACCCACTTGCCCACCTTTTTTTTTCTATAAATATCAATAAAGTTTTATCTGTTGGGCCAAAAAGTGTAAAAATTTAATACAAGGCTCCTGATATATTGTTACAATAGCAGTTGAAAAATATGAAAAATACATAGGCACAGTTTTTTTTTTATAACCATTTAAAGATCAAATTTTGACAAAATTTATCAAAATCTCGAAAATTATCAATCATTGTAATTAATAAATTATAAAATGTTCAGTTTTTATAGCTAAGGATTACAAATTAAACACAAAGGTTCTCATAAATAGTTCATACTATAACCAAAAAATCTAAAAAATATATGAACACACTTATTTTTTACAGACATTTTAAATTCAAATTTGGACGAAATTACATATTAAAAAACCTAGAATAACTATTTTAGTTATTTTGTTGTGATTGAATAATATTATTCGTGGGTACTTGAAACTTCTAAAGTGTACTATTATATATCTATGATAGTATCACGGTTTTTGTTGATGTATGACGCGTTATAAGTATCTAATGGATATTGTGATATGATTAATTTGGAATTTATTATAGGTACCTATTATAGTTCAATTTTTTGTTTAATACCATAGATATGTATATAATATGTCTTATACATAGACTGACATACCGTCACCGCTCAGAATCGTTTTTCTTATACAATGATATTATATCATTGAATTCAAATTTAATACCATCCATTATACAGTGACCCACTTGTAACCTACTGTACAGCAGAGCGACACCCACTTTCCCACCTTTTTTATTGCTTTAAGGGGGTTCGAGGCGGTGATTTAATAAGGGGTCGTGTATAGGCGATTCGATGTATTATAGTCGTTTCGCAGTGTGTTTGTGTGCGAAGTAATTAGTAAATGATCATTAGTGTGCATAGGAATCGTCCGGAATCAGTGGTTCGCACCCGCATGCACATGTCACATAATAAAATATTTGTTCCAACGAGAAACTAATTTCAATCAATTGAGACCTAAAAGCCTGACAAAAATACGATAACTTAGAATGATCGGATTTTAGTTCTGTAAACATATTTGAATTCATCGTTCTTTTTTCTAGGTTATTGTGGGAGTCGATTTTTGAATAACTGTTTAACTTTTTAAAGAAAGACACAAAAAATTGAGAAATCGAAATATGATTTAACGTGAATTAATATATAAATAATATCGAAAATTGATTCCCACAAGAACCTAGGAAAATTGTCAATGAACTCGAATCTTTTTACAGAATTGAAATCTGATAATTCTAAGTAGGCGTATTTTTGTCAGGCTTTTAGGTCTAAATCATGAAATAATTACGCTGCATCGAATCCCCTTAATTATAATTTAAGAGAAACTCTATATTCAATTTATAAGTTTTGGGTCAAAAGTAAATTTTTAAATTACAAGTTACTTTTTTGACCCCTCAAAGTAACCACTAGATACAATTTGCCTCCAGAAACCATCTTTAAGTTTTTTAAGTTGAACATTTTTACATTCTAATTTTCCAATATAGAATAATTGTATGAATGTTGTAGCGTTTTTATTTTATTGATAACTTCAAGACAATCCAAATTATTCCTTTGTTTTTTTGTATTTTTCGTTCGATTATTAAAATTGATGGAGTATTTACATCAAAAAATTAAAATGTTATGACACAAATACAATCTCTTCTAAGTAGTGTGAAAATAATTATAAATATAATATTTATTATGGGGGGGAGGGTTACAACCCGCTCCCTTGGATACGCCCTGAGTTGTAGGTAATCTATTATACAATCGTTCTCAAACCAAACCGGACGAATAACTGGAGGACGGAAAATAATAAAACATATTAGTTGCCTATCCATTGCGCCGCATGATAGTAAGTCTGCTTATTGGCCACTCCCCGAGCGATGTTAGATTTCCCGGTTTCTCCATGCTTTATAAAATATAATATTGTATAATAATTAGTAATTCTGGTAATATTAAACTGTATTTTGATGAAGTAGAGTAAGAGTATATGGATCTATACTCGAATATATTGGACCTTTCAACCTTTGTATTAGTCACTACGATTAAGTCTTTCAGTGCCGCGGCGTATACAAGGGGGGACGTAGTGACCCGATCCCCTCCCTTTGACTTTGGATTGGATAATCTTCCATATTTCCATATT